GGCTCCACAATCCAGAGACCCCATCTTCTAGTAGATTCCAGACGTTCTGAGAATTCCCTACACCCTTGGTGTCTCTCCATCCATGATTAGGAACAGCCACATGCCAGTCTGTTTACATGTTTCCTAGCTTGCTTAGCCAGTTGACAGACTGGACGAGATAATTAGCACAACAAAGAACATTTTTATGTGTACTTGTTTTACTTGCTTCTGATTATTTCCGTCTGGGAGCTGGTGTGGTCTAATTTAGAGCCAGTCAGTCAGAACCAGCAGTCCCAAGATCCCAAGACTCAGTCTTTCTGACTCACTTTAAATCTTATGGTCACACAGCCAATCTTGTTTCTCTTTCAAATTATGTAATTCACTCTCTCTCTCTCTCTCTCTCTCTCTCTCTCTCTCTCCATATATATATACATGTTTGTGTATATATAAACTGTATAGTTTTTATATAGAGTTTATATATATGTGTATGTATATATATAGAGAGAAAGAGTCTATTTCATCTATAATTTCAGACTTTTTATTGTTAAGTAACCTTTTGTTACCTTTGTGTTCTGTGTAATTGTGTGTGCCCCTGTCAAGTCACAAGTGTGAAAGGGGAATCAATTCTCTCCTTCAACCATATGAACCTTAGGAATCATACCCTGGGTCATCAGGTTTGGTGCAGCTCATTTATCCAAGGAGCCATCTCACCAACCCCTTAGGTAACACTAGATTATAATAAACCCATTTTGAAACAGCTGTACTGTTGCTCTGGCTCCTGTAGAATCGGGGCTCTGTCTTCTTATTCTTCTGTAATTTGAATGTTTAAATGAAGCTCTGGCAGAAGAAGGACCAGCACTTTGCAAGTGAAAGGATAAATGAAGCCATTTGTGTTGATCTCAACAGTTCTAACCTTCATGAAGAATTTTCTCCAGTTTTATTGCAATATTGATTTTAAAATCCATGGTATTGATTTTCGTATATTGATACTGTCTTTAAACTATTTTTATTGGCCCTTCACTAGTATTGAACTGTATTAAAAATAAACAAACACAATTGTCAATCTTTCTAACATAGGCTGTTAGAAAAACACGAGAAAAGATCACTCTGCAGCTGTACATACCTCTCTTGCGGAGGACCCAAGTCAGTTTCCCAACACCCAGGTCAGTCAGCTCCACACTGCTCCTGCCTCCAGCTCCAGGTGACCCCGTGCCCTCTGCTGACATCTCCCAGAGAGTCACACACATATACATATAGTTAAAAATGCAAACAAAATCTTATTTCAAAACAGGTTTCTCTCTATTTTATTTGGGGGTGTTCCCGAACTCCATTTTGCTAAGATGAACCCTTTAATGCTGGGTGGGGAATCTAGAGTAGCTCAGAACCCAGCACCTTAAAATGTAAGTCATTTCTGGCTGTGAGCCTAACCCTTTAACAGCTGAGCCATTAGTGGTTAAGAACATTGGCTGCTCTTCCAGAGGGCCTGAGTTTAGTTTCCAGCAACTACATGGTGGCTCACAACCATCTGTAATGAGATCTGGTGCCCTCTTCTGGCCTTCAGGGCAGAACACTGTATTCATAATAAATAAGTAATTAAATAAATAAATCTTTTTTAAACAGTAAGTCATTTCACAATCCAAATGGAAACTCAGGGGTAAATTCATCATCCAATTTGAAACTTTAAAGTACACTTTCATAAAGTCAAAGACACAGAACTCCATGGAGGAACTGAATTCAGTGTGAAGCTTCCTAGACACTAAAGCAACAAAGAAAAATCTAAAGTACTGGTCAAAAAGCCATACAAGATAATTCAGAAAAACTAGGTTTCTTCTAGTAAGTTTTGTCAGATACAAAAGACTTTGTATTTGGGGGCTGGGGTTCGAGACAGGGTTTCTCTGTGTAGCTTTGTAGTCTCTCCTGGCACTTACTCTGTAGACCAGGCTGGCCTCGAACTCACAGAGATCCACCTGCCTTTGCCTCCCGAGTGCTGGGATTAAAGATGTATGCCACCAACACCCAGCAAGAATTTTTTTAACATTATTTGTTCTGTGGGGGTGAGGTAAGCCCCTATGGAGGTAGAGAGGACAATTTGCAGCCTTCTGTTCTCTCTTTCCACCTTATGGGTTCTGGGGTGGGGGAGTCAAACCTGGGTCTTCAGGCTTCATAAGCAAGTCCCTGTATCCTCGGAGGCATCTTGCCACCCAAGAGAGAACTTTTTAGGTAGGATTCATAGAGGGCTCTGAGGGTTAGAATGATTTCCAAACTCTCCAAAGTCTCAGTTCCCTTCAGCTTCCTATTACTCTCTTGATCACTTTTTTTGCAATTTGGTAGTGCTGTCTTTAAAACAAACCGGATCAATTCTTACAATCCTTCTAAAAAGTTCTCCTGGAGGCAGCAACATGTGCTGCCTAGTTTCAACTTGACACAACCTAGAATCACTCTGGAAGACGGTGTTAATGAAGAATTGTCTATGTCAAGTTGGTCCGTTGGCATGTCTATAGGGGATTGTCTTGATTTTTAATTAGTATGGGAAGACTCGCCTACCAGAAGCACCACCTCTACTGGGCAAGGACTAGATTGTATATGAGCAGAGAAAGCAAGCAGATAAGGAATCCTGCCTGTTTTCTCCTTACTCTTATCTGCGAAGATGATGCTTTGGGTTCCAACCTTGACTCCCCCTAGTGATGGACTGTGATGTGGAAATCCAAAATGAGCCCTTTCCTCCAGTTTGCTTATTATAAGGATATTTTAACACAGCAACAGAGTGGAAACAAGAACATTCGCCCTTCTTCCGCGTACTTCTAATTCAAGGCACATTGTCTTTAGGGTTTATTTCCCTTTGTTAACTTCCTATTCCCATAAATGAAGAGGTCAATTTGTGGTTTTTCTACTCTTATTTACATATTGGAATATATGTTCAACCATTCTCTAGACATATTTGCATTCTATCTCCCAGACATTGCAAGTTGCAAGTAGAAAGATAGAATTATAAAACATTTACTTAGCATTCACTTACATGTCATACAAACTGTTTCATCTCCGTAACTATCATATGGCTGCTATATAGAAACTGAGGCCAAGAGGAGACAGGGGGTTAAATTATTGGTCCACGGCCAGAAAGTTTGCTAGGGTGAGTTGCCAGAATTTTCTAAATAGAATGCAAAAAGGTAAGGAGATCCCCGTTTTCAGAGCTGGGCCCCTTTCTGTGTCAGGGGCTCAGTGGGAAACATTTCTTAAAATTTCCTTCTAAGTCAGAATCACAAAGGTCCCAAAACCCACTTAAACACCTGGTTAATGTGACCACCCATCTGTAATTCCACTAGTTGATATTAGTCTTGTGGCAAGGAGCCAATCAGAAGTGAGCTAGCAGGCTCTGGGTGTGCTTTGCTGATAATGGTGGACTGCAGGGTGTAGCAACTGCCCTGGGAGGGCCTCTAGGCACAGCAACCTTCCTGCAGCTGCAGCTGACCAATCAGCTCAGGGCAGGTTGCCCAAGGCCAGAGGTGCACCAATCCTGAGACTGTTGCTATGCAACTAGCAGACCCCCCCCCCAGACACTCCCCTTGCTCTACCCCAATACATGCCCTGGCCCACTGCACCTTGCTCGGGTACCACTGCTAATGTTGCTTATGGTTTTCAGGCTGGGCATCCGATTAGGCAAGTCAAGGTTATCCTTCAAAGCAGTTATAGAATTATCAGCCCTTACCAGATATAGACACTTTAACAAACAGAAGGGTTCCCCCTAAGCCAAACGAAACAGCCTCTCTCTGTACTTGAGATACTCAGAAAAATTAAAAAGGAAGCAATTAGCCAACTGCGCAGGTTTTTTTTTTTCTTCCTAGAGTTTGAATTTAAGTTACTGGCAAGGATGGGTTCTTCATGTGATACATGAAAAGTGTAGGTTTTCACTGAATTCCAAGGCCTCTCTTGAACATGGCTAGTCCTGTGACATGCCAAGACTGTCTTGGACATGCTTTTCCCCTTTATTGGTTCCTTTGTTTAACTTTTGAGTTTAGGAAAGAGTTGCCTCTGTTCTATCACATTATAAAGGTTAAGGCTGACCTTCGAGGTTTGCCTTATTAAATTCGAAATTTGAATCCCTTTTTTCTTTTTAATATGAGATAGTTTTATAAAATTGATCCACTTACAAGTGATGTAGGGACTTGAGGGTCTCATTGAGGTTAGTCACCATTAATTAATTATAAGATACATTAATTACTCCTTAATGATAATTACCCTATCTTCTCATCTCTTACTGGATTTCTCATTGGGTTCACTCATGTCTTTCTGAAAAATCAGTATTTAAGCTAGAAACTGTTTAAAAGCTAGGTTGTCCAGTAATTTCTCCTAAATTTCCTCTAAAGTATGGAATGTGCTTTACAATTTGGTGAATATTAAGTTGTAAAAGGTTATAAACCCTAAGCTGCTAATATTGCTTGTCTTGAACAGGTTGCTTCGACAAAATATCATAAATCCAATGGCCTGTAAACAACGGAAAATTATTCCAAGTAGTTCTGGCCTTGAAGCACCAAGATAAATATTCCAGCACACTATGTCTGCCAGACTTGGTTCTTTCTTCAGCATCACCAAGCATGGTGGTCAGCCCTTAACGGATCGCTCTAAAATCTGCTCTATAGGCCACAGTTCCCACTCACGGGAATCCTCCTCATGATCCAGCTATCTGTTTACGATTTAAGATGTTTTCAGCCGCCACGAGAATAGGTGGACCCCAAATCCACACTCAGGAGTCCCAACCCCGCCCTAGACTCTGTCTACGTCTGGGTAAGGACGTTTCCGCCCATTGCTTCACAACCCACCTTGGTCTCCCCTCCTTTCTTTCACCCCCACTTCCGCTCTAGTCTATGCTTCACCTCCCCTGCGTAGCCAGCAGCACGCCGTGTCTTCAGTTTTCCTTTCCCCCTTCTCTAGACTCAGAGTCCCCAGCTACAGTACTCCCTTTCTTACCACAACAGCAAAAGAACAAAGGAGCTTAAAAAACTACGGGGGCATATTTGGCTCACGGTTTGAAGGCAGAATGTTGCAGCCCTGTGGTTGCTGTTTCTGGTGAGGGCGGCCCCGACTGGAGTGCAGCATGGTGGATGGCATCAAGGCGGCTGTGCGTGCAAGAGGGAGAGAGATCGCAGTGAACCTGAGAGACAACGTGAGGAGCCAGGCTCACTCTTTTAATTCCTCTGGGGGTAGCAGTCTAAACGATCTAATTAGTGTCCACAAGGCCCCACCTGTTGAAGATCATACACCACCTCATAACATCACCACCCTACGGACCGACGTTCTGATACATGAACCCTTTGGGGGACAAACCATATTCTAATCACTGCACCAAACTGTGAATTCCACTGCAAAATGCCCTTTACACTCCATCTAAAAAACAGTCATTAACACTTGTCTGGGCTTGTAAGACTCTAATTAGCACACTCATTAGGAAATCCACCTTTCTCCACTAGGGATTATAATCCTGCTCTAGTTTCAACTCACTTCCCAAGCTCTTTTCCTATTGATTTCTATAGCACAGCCAAACACTCTAATTCATCTTACCTTTGACTATCCCGGGCTCTGTGTCTCTTCATCTCCTTTTGTCTTCAGTACGCTTGTCCCCACTTTAAGTTGCTGAGGTCAGATTCATTTCCAGGTTGCAGGCGAAGTACCATTTGTGGTGATACCTTTCTTCCACAAACAAAGTCTGTCTGGGGGTCAGAGAATGGAGCTTGCGGCTAGCTAACCATAGAGGTCTGGAGGTCTGTACAGACAGGCAGGAAGTGACGTAGCTGGGCAGTAACAGTATATAAGCAGGAACAAACAGGAAGTTGCTCTCTTCTCTGTGGAGACATTTAGGAGGTAAGTTGTGCTGTGGCTTGTTCCTTCTCTGATCTCTCAGCATTTCCCTCTATGTCTGACTCTGGCCTTTTGTCTAGATCAGTTAAGGACAGCTGTTAACTGCAGAGAGGAGCGATTTCCCTGGTTCTCACAGGGACTTGCCCCTCTTCCTATGTTATGCCCTGTGTGTGCATGCATGTGGGTGTGCCTGTGTGCACATGTATGGAGGTCAGAGGACAACCATCATGCTCTTTGGCCTGCTGTCCCTGTGGCCTGGAGCTTGCTGAGTAGGCCAGGCTGAGTGGCCAGTGACCCTCAGGGACCTGTCTGTTTCCGCACCATGACTAGAAACATGCTCCTCCCACTTTTCCTGTGGATTCTCGGGATCCAACTGGAGTCTTTGTGCTTATGCAGCCATCACTTAACCAACTGATCTCTCTCTCCATCTTTTTGTCTATTTTTAAGGTGTTTATTGCCCAGAGCCTGCCTGGTACTACAGTCAGACATTTCCTGATATTGCCCTTACTCCCTTGAGGGCTGAGGCTTATTACACATTCTTACATAACAGTCTCTAGAAGCTCAGGGTTTTGTGAATTCCAGACACAGAAGACAAGCATGGGTGACTAAGGCTCTGTCACCAGCATTTGGAACTATTGGGGGGTGATGGAATCTATAAGAGGTCTGGATTACTGGAGTCAGGTCTTTGGGGTGCCCTTTTACTCTGCTCCCCAGAGTCATGCAGAAGATTTTCCACCAGTCCCACACATGGCACAGTATTCTGCAGCACCACAGGCCTCAAAACAATAGAGCCAACCAGTCACAGACTGAAACCCCAGAAACCCTGAGCCAAAAGAAGTCTTACTCACAGCGATTATGACAGGACTTGAAGCTTAATACAGTTGCTCTGATACAGTATCAGAGTCTTGATGTGGTTCACGTAGGACGTTAGCCAGCGAGCCAACCTGAGTGAGCCTTCACAGGGACTTCCCGAACCGTCCCTTCCTGAAGGTAAAGGAGCAAACACAATACTGCTCAATATTTTCTTAGATCAGGTGCATTGAAGAGAGGAAAAGAAACAGCCCACTGGGGGATTTCGAAATGTCCTTGAAGAGTGTAAAATTAATAAAGGTATCTCCAGGCTTTTTCAAGGTGTCTTCTGATGTATGAAAAATGTCTGCGTGGATTACAAATCCATCATGCGGGGGGTGCTAATGGGAGCAAGACCTGTGGAGGTAACTCCACTCAGACAGAACAGCGTGAGGCGTGGAGGGCCCCTGTGCACAAGCTGAGTCACCTTAGGACCCGAAGCAAATAAACTTCAGGAGACCACTTACTCACGGACACCACCACCCATTATCTCTCTTCTCCACACAGACAATAAATGGATCTCGGGGTCTCTCTTTGAGCTCAGAGGTTGTATTTATTCTGAAGGGGTCATATACTTACATGTTAGATATTGCTTCATTTTAGAATATGAGAGAGATTATTTCTGACTTTCAGGGGGGTGCTATCTGCAGTATGCAGCGCAGAAGAGAGTGACTGCTACTTAAAAATTCTAAAGGAAAGGTACCTGTGGGCCAGATTGCGGGAACTGGAGAGCACCAAGTGAGAACCGGAATGCTGCCAAAGCCCAGCTTAGATGGGAAAGAAGGGGCGTGGTGAGGGTGCTCAGACAGATGTCACTCAGACCACAGGTGCTGAGATGGTGTTGACTTTTTGGACTGGAGAGCTCAGGTTCCTACTCCTGCCGTGTGGGAGGGGCACAGGTTAAACTGACCTAGACTTTTCGTACAAAATAAACTTGGATTTTCCGATTTCTTCAAAGGGCCTGCTGCTGATTGCTTTAACTGCTACCCCAATTTGATTCTCACACTTCAATTCTGAGGGTAGTGAGATCTTTACGTTTCATGTTTACTTTTGGAAGGGACTCCCTACCCCTGAAAGCTAAGTGTAGATTTCTAGAGTACATATCAGAAAACATGCACAGCATGACACAATCCACACAGCATACAACTTGCTTGTCTCAAGTATCCAAGTCGATGGATTCTAGAATATTTTCAGGTGTGTACCCTAGCACCATGGTCGACATAAAGCAATTCATTTTATCCCACACCTACAAACTACCGTGCATAGGAAGCCGATGGTAGGACTGTCTCTGCAATCAGCTTGCTTTGCCTGGCACAGCATTTTTAAAGCTTGTCCCTACTTCAGCGTGCATCAACACACTATGTATGTATGTATGTATTTATTGTGCGGCATTCTGTTGTGTGGAAATACTGTGTTTTCTGTATTTGCCTGCTGGCTCTTCGGAAGTTTCATTTTAGTGGTGATTGTTAGTGGTGTTAACATAAACACTCATGCATAAGTTTCTGTGCGGAAATACATTTCCATTTCTCATGTGTAGAGTGACTTTGCTGGGGTACACAGACATTCGGTGATTAGTCGCATGAGAAGGAGCCTGATTCTTTCCCAAGTGACTGAAGCACCTTTCACTCCCTTCAGCACTGTTGGATCCATGTGGCTCCTCCCAGTCTCGCCAACATTTGTTATTGTCTGACTTGACTGTAGCCTTCCATGTGATTATCAGCCGGATGGGTCGGCATCTACCTGTAATGCTAGCACTCTGGAGGCTAAGCCACAGGACTACTGTGGGTGCACTATGGGCTACGTAGCAAGCACTAGGCCAGTCGCGGATGAATAGTGAGATACTGGGCTGGTAAATCTTTGTCAGCTTGTCACGAACAAGGGTTACATGGGAGAGGTCGGTGGTCCTGGGTTGTACAATAAAGCAGGCTGAGTAAGCTATCGAGAATGAGCCAGTAAGCAACGTGCTCCCTCCACGGGCTCTGCTTCGTTTCCTGTCTCCAGATTCCTGCCTTGAGTTCTGGCCTTGGCTTCCTTCAGAGATGAGCTATAACCCTGAAGTATCAGATAAAACAAACTTTCTTCCCTAAGTTGCTTTTGGTCATCCTGTTTATTAAAGTAACAGGGAGCAAACTAGGCTAGATGCTGTCTCTGTATATAATGAAATAAAAATATAAAATTAACTAAATCAATTTAGTAATGTTTACTTGAGTAATAATTTAAGTCCTAAATGTCTTCAGCCATCACAAGGTTATATGTGAGGGCATCTGCATTGTTATTTAATCCGAATACTTTGTCTTGTGCCCCACCCCATTCTCTTGACCACTGTTGCTTTGTAACCAATTTTCAAGTGATAGTTTGCTAAGAATTTTTCGCCTTTTTAAAAAGATTATTTTAGCTCCTTTGTGTCCCTTTCAACTTCCATACAAATTTTAGAATCAAATTGTTAATTTCTAAAACAAACAACAAAACCAGCCAACATTGTCACAGCAATTACAGTGACCATCTGTTCAGGGAACACCCTCATTCTAGTATTTTGCCTCCGAATCCGTGAACATGACCTGTTTCTCCATTTATGTGATCTCCTTTAGTGACTTTCTATAGTATTTTTGTTTGATATTCAGAGTCTAAGCTCAGAACTCTTATTAAATTTCTTCTTAAGCATTTTATTTTTTCAAAACTATTATGAAGGAAATTGTTTTCTTTGTTTTTCAAATTGTTCATTTGAAAGCTTAAAGGAATATGATTAACTTTTTGTGTATTGACCTTGTATCCTGCAACCCTGTGAAATTCATTTCATTGTGATAACTATTTAGTGGAATATTTAAAATTTTCTTCAGAGAAGCTCATGTCCTAGATGGATTGAGATGGCACTGTATCTCCCATTTTGGTATGGATTCCTTTAATATTTTTTAACTGCCTAACTACCCATAAGCCTTTAATACAGTGTCCAATACAAATATCCAGATTAGACATGTTTTGCTGTTCTTTTGTAAAAGTTCAAAAATTAGAAAAAGGAAAAGGAAGGCTGCAAGATGGAAACTGGAACTGGCGCGATGGAACATGAGCCATAGAGAGTATGAGCCATGGTTTACTCCAGCGGCAGAAGACCAAGAGCTGGGAGACAGACATGAGAAACGAGAAGGGGGGGGTAGAGAGTGAGAGCGTGGAGAGGAGAGAGAGGAGGTGGGTAAGAGAGAGAAGTGTGGAGAGAGTGGGAGAGAGAGGAGATGATGGCGCAAACTTGGAAGAGGAAGCTTGCACATGTGTACAGAGTCATTACGCAGCCACGTGACCAGTGATGTAGGATGATGTGGCCACACCTGCCACTGTGTGTGCCCTGCTTGTAGTCAGGGGATGGGGTCAGTATGGTGCTGGAAGTTCCAACAATCTTACCCCTTATTATTATTAAAATGGTGGGGTGTTAGGTGTGGCAAGTTAGAGAGTAAGGGCGTTGAGTTCTTAAGACTGCTTCCTGCTGACCTGGGGGGCGTTGGCCATCTTTGGGGAACCTGAGGAAGCTGGGATGTTGTCAGATCCTGGGGTAGCTGGTTGCTCCATCGCAGTCCAGACCGTATGGAACTCTCTGGCACCTCAGACCTGGCAAGATATTAGTGGAGTAGAGGACAAGGCCTGTCTCCCCCCACTGCTGGAATAAACTAGGGTTAACATGCTCTCCATGGCTTGTGCTCAGTCGCGACAGTCCCGGTTTTCATCTCATGGCCTTCCTTTTCCTTCTTCTAATTTTTAAACTTTTACAAAATAACAACATGTTTTCTTATTCCTGAGTTGTTTTTCTTTTTTTTTTTTAAAGAAGCCTTGAGCCGAGCGGTGGTGGCACACGCCTTTAATCCCAGCACTTGGGAGGCAAAAAGCAGACGGATCTCCGTGAGTTCGAGGCCAAGCTGGTCCGACAGTCTCCAAAACAATACAGAGAAACCCTGTCTTGTAAAACCAAAAAAAAAAAAAAATGTCTTTTATCATTTTCATTCTTTTTTTTTTCTTCTTAGTTTGTTGGATTTTAAATCAAAGGACA